TCCCCCCCCCCCCCACACACACACACACACATACACACACACACTCATTTAGTCAGACCTGGTATTAGTGGTAGAAATTATTGGTCATGGAGACCAATTTAGCAATCTAGTAATTGTGGTGTTTAAATCAGTAGTAGCCAAAAAAGACTGTGAAATGAATTGACTTCAGGGTTGTGCAGAGTTGTGAACTGTATAAATGTTGTCACAACTAAAGCAATGCAATATTTCAATGTAAAATCAGATCAGATGCCCATTATCTTACTAACTTTGTTAATTGATGAATTGCCATTTGATAATTTTTTTTCAAAATTGCTTCATATTATTTCATAACAGAATTAACATTTATGTCTGTTGATGCTTATTTTGACTGAAGTTCATTCACTTCATAACTTTCTTTCAATGCTTAGAAATGAAATTTGAAGACTTTTCTATACAATGATATATTTTCTTTGATCATAATGACTTTAGCAATATTTTTATTCAAGTTCTTATTCATTCTTTTCTTTGGTTCCCAGGTAAAGGCAAAATATATTAGAAGAATTTTGATTGAGAAATATTATGGAAAATTCAGGCGTCGACAAGGGGTTTCATTGCTGGAGGTGAACAAAGACTGCATTGCAGGAGCTGAATGCACTGATAACATGATGATGGTATGGTTGCAGCAGACCACACTCTTACCTCAACTGGAATTCAATTACTCCAGATTCTATCTACTGATAAAAATGACTCTAAAGGGACTTTTTTTTTTTTTTTTAATGCCATATAAGCCTTGGGGGCCCTAAACCCACATGTTAGAGTTTGGAAATAGTTATGCTGTTATGTTTTTTTAAATAGGAGGAAGTACTTAAATTGTAGAAATGGATCGTAGGCTTATAAAGGAAATAAATTTGAGATAAAAGACAAGTTTTGCATGCTTGGTGGTACAGTGGGAGATTTTTGTTTACTCAGAAAGCTTTGGCAAAATGAGGAAGAAAATGTGTGTAAGAAATATGATTGGAGAATTACATTAGATGGTTAAATCCAAGAGAGGCACTGTGTTATTGCAGTTGCTTCTCCTGTCGCAATCTGAAACATCAGTCCATATTTTTTGTTTTACATTAATTATTTGAGTAGTTTTGTTTGGTTAAAAGAAAGGTTCTTTGTGAGTTGGTGCCCGCTTGAATTAGTTCGCTTTAGAACACCATGAAGCTCTTTTGGTAGAACTTTTGAGAGTCTGGAACAGTTAGTATCAGATAACCCGTATTGTAACAGGTCAGAATTCAAGAAAATGACTTAGGAGCCATTTACAATACATGATCCGAGTACTAACTGATCCACCGGCTAAATATGGCCGACCCCAATTTAAAAGTGATGCTTCTAATTCCATGATAGTTTCCCTGTCTCAACTCACACCGTCACTGCAAGGGCCTACCAATTTAACCTCGGAGCTGCGATGTAATCCGTTTTATGGCGCGTGTGGGAGACCATCGGGAATCAACGTCATCGCGTTTGAAGTGGAGTAGGCCATATTTAGTTGGCGGATCAGTTAGTACTCGGATCATCTATTCTGAATGGCCCTTAAGTGTCAATGAAAGTACAAAATAAATCCAAATGTGAAAAGGGTGTTCAATGTATGGGATGTGTTATGAAACAGAGGTCAGTTATGCAAAACATATATAAATTTACCAAATTGATCAATCGGGCATTTCTTTCAAGAGGCACATAGATGAAACATTTAGGTACGATAATAAGCTGGAAAAAAAAACGATGTGCACCGGCAACCAAAATCAAGACAATTTTTCCACTGAATATGTCGAAAAGGAGAATGAACAATTTCAATAGGTACGTAACTGAAACCTGATGGGCGTACGTCATTTCAGTTGTGTTATTTCCAGCTCACTTAAAACATTTTCAGTTTCCAAATACATTATTGATGTGCGGGTAGTACCAGTAGGTCGTGGCCTGTTTTAATAACATGTCCGTTTGTTTATCTGAATGAATGCTGACCACCCCCTCCCCCACCCCCACCCCCCAATAAAAGGGGAAAATATGAAAGAAAGAGACTACAAAATCAATTAATTTCTTGAACATGATTACTTAAAATATTCCGAGACATGTGCATGTTATTATGCCAAGATGTACAAGATCAGTCCTGAACGAGCAAAACGAAACAAAACCAAGCAATTTCCCATCGCTTTGCCCTACTTATTGTACCGTCTCCTCTTTTTTCTCAATATGTATGTATTTTCAAATGTTAGCCTTTGTTGCTTTTCACGGTTTGCACAAAGATTAATTACCAGAATTACAAACGAACAAACTATCGCGAAGAGTACCAGGACTAATTTACCTTGCACTACATCTTTTTTCGCAGAAAAATCGACAGCGTCGTTTCTATGGTGGCCAAACTAAATTAAATTTCAGATTAAGTTCATTGCTTGGTTTATTTATTTATTGATTGATTGATTTTAATAAAACGTTTTTGCCATCCTCGCAGATATCGTTTAAACTACGGCGTCCTTTGTGCGACCTCGAAGCTGACCTGGGCTCCGTAACTCGAAAGCATCGCGCATTGCGACCGAGCGCTAGCGTCTCGATTCCATAACTCGCCCATACTTGTCCCATATAATACATTGTAGCATCTACATATGTAATATCGCTATTCGCAATACGCGATGCTTTCGAGTTACGGAGCCCAGGTCGCCGTTGGACGCTCAGAACACGCACGGTTATGGTTAAGATCGCACACAGGGCGTTCAAGCATCGCCGAAAACGCCATGGTCGCCGCAAAGTTTTGAGCATTGTCCAAACAATCGCACAAAGAACGCGGTAGGGGTTGGTTGCTCAAGGGACGCACAAGCATGGTTGTGGTCGCAGAAAGGACGCGCAAGTTGCTCTGTGGTCGTAGAAAGGACGCACTTTGGTTGCAGAATGAATGCTCAATGATTGGCCAGTGTCGGAACGTAAAACATTACTTCTTTACGCTCAAACTGTGCCGTGCTAGGATATTTTTCACCTGAGACAGGATATCTGCGGGAAACATCTACTAGTGGTCTCATACCAGCCTCCAATTTTTTTTTCTAAAATTCTTGAACCGATCCATTTTTGGAGGTTATTGCATAACGAATATTTTGCTTTTTTTTTTTTTTTTTCAAGATGCAGTTATTGCCGCTGTTTTTGCAGAATGCGTCTCTTGAAAACTCACCCAAACATTGTGTTGTGCCAATCAGCCTTTTTCGTTTTCAGCGCCTGTCTATCTTTCACTTAAGGACAGCAATTATCATCTGGCTTATTATCAGTCCACGCAGACCTTGCTTTACCGAAGTTCGAAATTCCTTATAATTTCTTATTATTCCTTATTATTTTCTGGAGATGTTCTTAATTGGATGGCCGTGTTATAATTGATGAAAAAGTATAAAAGAGTCAGAATATATCGAAGGGCGCCCAAACAACGCTGATCGGTCTAGCAGGAGGCAGAAAGACCGTAGAATGGTGGCCACTGATCGCCGATGAAGTTACAGAGAACGCAACAAGGATGCACAATGGTTGCTCAAACATTGCACTTGACGCCGTAGGTTGCACAGGGGAGGCAGGCAGGTTGCTCAGTGGACGCACGTACAGGACGCTCGCAGTTTTACAGGTAAAATCTAGATTCAGTCGTTCAATGGACGCACAAGAAGCGCAGAAGCATTTACACTGAGACACGATTTAATTGCTTTGGTGACCATTGAACGTCCTGACCATATTTTTGATCGTAAGAAGGGACGCAGAAAGGACGCCGCCAAGTGTATAGTGGGCATTACTATACGCCAACCCACCATTTTCCAAAGGTAGGAGTCTGCGCCTGTGTTTTTGCTGCATACCCCTCCCAAAAAATAAAATGATAAATGTAATCGACATGACCACGTCAATTTCATATTTTGAAAATAAAATTAACAAAAAGACGTGAAACATATTTTGATATTAAATGTCTAAATTGCTTGTTAGATGCATTCTTATTTGGTCTTTATTGGGACCTGTAAAAAGTCGAAATCGACATGGCCTAGCGTTGGTCCAAAGTTTGTGCTCGTTGACTTTACGTTATGCTTGTGAATCTGAGGTGCGGCTCGTTAATATTGGCGTTTGCGCTCGGGAATCTGAGGCCTGCACTAGCGACATCTGTGGACCGATCTAGACTAGTTTCTCCGGCGAGCCATTGCACTCCTCTATGACGTCTATAACTGTATATATATATATAGATCACTAGTTGATTGAAATGTGTACAGCGATACAACCAAACAACCATTCTGCAATAACCTCTAAACACTAACGTAGCCAAGAATAAACTTTCAGCGGAAGCTATAACAGTATCAAGGAGAAGAAGAGCAACGATTATCTTATATAGTCATAACAAATGTACAGACAAAATAACTTGTCCACCAAAAAGTGTGAAGAAAAGTATTGTAAACCATATATTATAAACCAGATACACCAACATTTTAATTTTGAAATAATTGATATCTACAAAAAATTAAACCCATTCAATTACTATCAGTCATTTCCAATAACCTGTGGCAGAACGTATTTAGATTTTGCACTAAGCATAATTTGGTTCACTTAAATCACTACTCTAGAGAAAATAAAAATAAAAACGTAAGTGACCAAGCATTGGCTCGCTGGTGACGCGTACCAGCTACTTCAAACACATGCAGTCGACCGGGCAACCTAGCTGCTTTCTGGAAAACGGCCTCGGTGTGAGGGCGGGTTACGAGCAACATTGAGATCATAAACCCTATACCCATATTCCACACCGGCTACAAATTCCACGAACCGCCAGGAATTGATGAATCGCAGGGTTCTTACTTTAATCGTAATACATTATTTAAGCTTTTTACTGATTCTTATTTATTCTCAGTCAGTTCTTGCAATTCTTGAGAGATCGTGAAATCGGGACAAAAATTTTGAGCTGTTCAAAATTTTGGACCCAAATTTTACACCTTCTCATCATGCGTAATATTAAATTAAGCACCAATTAAGTATGGGATGTTTGACCTTGACCTGTTTTAATGCATCTTGTATGTTTTATGTACCATTGTTTATACAAAGAGCGTCTTTTCTGTCCTCCTTCTGTTTTCACTAGAATACCTGTATGCATAAAATATCAACATATCTTGTCTGATTAATTTCGCCTTTTTCATGCTACCAGTTTTCATTTATAAGAATAACTGGAATTCATTCTATAGTATTTAGTTTCTACCGTTAAACTCTGCTTTATACCCCATTCTTACGATGTGCCTACACTAAAAAGAAAAATCAGCGATGTTTACATTGAAAAGTTTTTATAAAAGCATTCAATTTGTACATGAAATCTTTCATTAAAATACCCACATGAGTAGAGTGTTTTTGACATACTTTTTATACCATGTTTTTAGGTAATTAACTACTGGACCTCTTTATTGGGGCAAAACAAAACAATTTTTAACAAAGTGTCAATGCTCATCACTGTTATAGGGTCATTCAGAATCACTCTGAATCATTGATTGATTCACTACAGTGTATGAGAACTCTCATCAGTTTCTACTGGTTGTGCCGCCTTCTCACATTTAAAAAGAAAGACAGAAAATATCACCTGTTTATCCTTCGCTGCTTTATTTGACGCTGCAATCATATAAAGTGGTGCTTCCAACTTTTGAATAGCCTCTTCAACTTCAGGAAGTACACTGACAAACATATCCTTGTTGGACTAGGTCTTTAAGAGGCTCTAGATGAAAGCGTTTCCTCAGTTTTGTACACAGTGCTTCTCTGTTCATGTTTGTTGTACAGTGTATTTATTATGGCCTCAATATTGCCTTTGTGGTTATGTCTAAGTCCATCTTCTTGCCAGTCAAAAGCTCACATATTTCTTTCAAGTCTTCCTTTAAGTTTCTTTCTCAACTTTTTTGCTCCTTCTTTCGCTTCTTTTGCCTCAGA